GAAGAGCAACATCTGTAATAATATGAACAATAAAGATTTATTAATTTTAAAAAAAGAATGATAGAACTTCAGAGAAGACTGAATTCTAAGCTCAGCTTGGCCTCTTGTGCCCAATCCCTGATAAAGAAAACATCAAGCCCTGAAACTCAGAATGGGGTTTTCTAAGTAGATGCACCTGAGAACTCTGAACTCTAGATCCTTCTGAACCCACTGTCCTGCAAGAGAGAACCCTGTCCCTGTTGCTAGACAGACCACTGCCCTAACCACCACCCCCCCATTTTGCCTGAACTAAGATTATACAGAGTTTTCTCAGCAAGACCAAACTAGGAATATACTAGATGAGCCTGCTGGCTGAAGAGATAGTTTACTCCAACAGAGCTGCAGGTCTGGCCAACATGTACTAACTGTCACAGCAAGATGAGTAATTTGTGTAATGGGAAGCAATATGTCATCCAAAGAGATTATAAATAGATGATCAGATGGCTGAAATAGGCATCTGCCATCCCTATTTTATATTCTAACATAGTTTTTCCAGGATTCACTCCCACACACAACCACTAAGCCCTGCTGGCCAGCCAGTCCTGGTCCTTTAGAAAGCTAAAACAGAGAACCCAGATAGCCATGGTGACAAGCCTATGGTTCAGGTGACCCATGGAACCATATCTATAACTCTATCTTAGTAGCAGAGCCCCGCCAATGGCCTTATCCAATTTATTAATACAGCCTATGCCCTCATCCATTCAGGCAGCCTAGCTCCACCCAATGAGAAATCCTGGAGGTGACTCTGCTCAACGTGCAACAGTCTCTATCCCCATCCAATGCAGTATGCCACTGGAGGCCCCTCTCAATCAGAAAATTTAGCCAATAACCATGTCCAACATCAGAGAAAAGCCAGAAAGTTAACTTATTGTGAAGCCCACCCTGTAGCACAGCCAACTTCAGGGAACAACCAATGGCATCACCAGATCTCAGATCACAATCGAAGGCCCAGTATGAGTGTGAAGCCCTTATAGTAGCCCCAACTGAGCATTAAGTCCAGCCAGAGACACCATCAGACTAGGTAACACCGCTTGCAACTCTACCCAACCAGGAGGTATTGGAGAGCCCAGCCTGTAACCCTGACAAATTACAGAGTGCAACATTTGGCAACAACATACCACAAAACACAGGCTGAAACCTCCCTCAACAAGAGATGATTGTAGAGCTCAGAAAGTGGACCCATCAAGCTCCAGAGTACAGCCAGCAGTTGTGCCTGATCAGGGAGCCCAACCTGCAAGTTCACCAAACCGCAGAGCTCAGCCATCATCCAACCACCAACCTCAGAGCACAGGCACTGGCCTTCCCAACTGAGACCCTGATGACATGCCCATCTTCCCATAGATGCTATCAGCTCTCCTGTACTGTATTCCAATCTGAGCTGACTAATGAAGGCATTTTTCTGGTGAAGTGAACCTGTAAAGTTTATGAGAGGAGATTGCTTACTTATGTGCACTGATACCAAACAAAGGGAATCAAGGATCATGGATATTTGGGTAAACATTGCACTACTACAAAAAAAATAAACTAATAAATTCTAATAACTACCCTTAAAGAAATGGGGGGGATATATAAGATGTCTGACAAAGAATTTAGGAAAATCCTCTTAAAGAAGTTCAGTGAACTATAAGAACCCATCGACAGACAACTTAAAAAAAAATGAACCAAATGAGAAGTTTAACCAAAAAGAGAAACTATAAAAACAAACCAATCCAACCAGAATTTCCCAGTCAGAGCACATGCCTGGGTTGGGGGCTCATTCCCTAGTGGGGGGAGGGTGTGCAGTAGGCAGCCAATAAATGATTCTCTCTCATCATTGATGTTTCTATCTCTATCTCCCTCTCCCTTCCTCTCTGAAATCAATAAAAATATATTTTTTTAAAGTCTTAAAAAATAAAATAAATAAGTAAAAAGGACTTTTTAAGTGGCCTGGAACAAATTTATTGAAATCAATAATAGCTATTCTGGAATCTTTAATTTAG